ACCCGCTCCAGCACAGCCCCCCGTTGGTTTTCCCAGCTCGTCACGGTGCAAGGCAGAGGAGATGACATCCCTGCTCCTGCCAAGACAAACACGGCGCCTTCCAAACACGCAGGGCTTGGCAAGCCCACGCCTCGGCCATCGATCACCGAGCCCGCCGTGCTGCAGCCCACAGCAGCCCATCCGTGAGCACAGCAGGGGAGAGGGACCGGGGGGCTTGGGGGGTCTCAACAAACCCCCCACGCCTCTCCCCGCACCGCCAGCTGATTCTCTGTGGAGAATCCACATTCACACCCTGCCTGGGGCTGGGCTGGGGGCTTGCCCCGGGCTCCTGACGCCCGCAGGGTGCTGGGCAATGTCAGGGGTCCGTCCCTACCCCCGGCACGCAGAGAGCGCCCGGGGCAGGGACAGCTCGTCCCTGGGGTGGCTGTGCCGAAGGGTGCCCTGCAGCTGCTGGCTTAGCCCCAGGCAGAAAGTTGGCCAGAGGCAGCTCCAGGCTCTTACAATAATAAACCGCGCTCAGGCGAGCATTTGTCACTGGGCTGGAGCGGGAAAGGACCAGATATCCCAAACATCTGGGGGAGGGAGCGTGGGAGGCAGAGGGCAGGCAGGGAGGTCCTGGAGGGGCCGGAGAGGGTCTGTCCTCTCCACAGTGTCCTAAGATGGTGGCAGCAGAGCGTGGCATCACCACGTCAACCCTTCCAGAGGGCTCAATTCAGCCTGGAGGAGCAAATCCTGCTCCTCCCTCGCATCCCGTCCCCTGCAGCGGTTCCTGAGCTGGGAGCTGCTAAGGTTTCAGTGCGAAGCTGGTGTCTCTGAGAGCTGTAGAGGGGGGCACAGGCAGCTGGTGGGGGCTGGGGGATGGAGGCTGTTCTCGTGGCATTGCCAGGCTAAGCCAGACTGGAAGAGGAGTCTGTGACATTGCTGTCTCCGTGCACCGAGGTGTGCCCATCCCAGGAGCCACCCTGGGGGGAATCCCGGGGCCGCTGTGCCCTCCTGCCTCCTTTACTGGCCACATCTGCAGGGAACATCTGCATCTGGAGCTCTCCCGGGGGCTGGGGCACCCCCAGCATTGCTTCCTACAGTGGGGTGGGAAGGGCAGAGGGTGATGGCTCAGGGAAGGTCCAGCCCCTCATCTCTCACCCTCTGCCTCCCCTGCAGCCCTCTCAGCGGGCCTGCCCTGCAGCACAGCTCCTCTCTTCTCCCGTCCTGCATCCACCATTATCCCCAGCCCCTGCATCCCCTTGCCCTTCCCAGCTCTCCTGCGCTGCCCTCAGGGTGGGTGCCCAGGATGGTGCCAGGCTGCGGGCACCCTGGGGACCTGGGTGACCACCGTGGCTGCCCAGCCGGCCCTGGGGGCGCTGGCAGTGCGGGGGTCGCTGCTGGGAGTCAAACCGCGGCGGGCAGCGGGGGGCAGAGGCGCTTGCTGCTGCTGCGGGACGAGGAGCGGGGCAGCAGAGGGTTAAGCAGCGCCTGGCGGCGGGAAGGGGACCGGGAGGAGGGGGGAGATGGAGGAGTTTGTTTAATAGCTGGAGACAAGCTATGCAGCTGTGCAGGTCGGACGGGCCCTGCAGCCCCCGGCCCCCGCCACCCCCTCCCCGGCCGTGCCCGGGCAGGCAGAGCAGGCAGCGGGCAGGAGGGCAGGCAGGCTGGCACGGCGCTGGCAGCTGGGGAGCCTCAGCAGGGTTATAAAAAGCAGGAATGCTTCCCCCAGAGCAGCACACGGCAGGCGATGCCTGCCAGCCCGGCAGGGGATGGCGGCACCGCCCGGGAGGTGACACCGAGGGCACCCCGGGTGCTGGGGGACGCTTTGGTGCTGGGGCATGACCCAAAGGGCTGAGCGGGTGCTCAGCTCCCTGCGGGCTCCCTGGGGTGGGTGGCAGTGGGCTGGTCCCCAGGCTGGCTCAGAGGGGCCACCAAATCTGGTCCAGGCATCTCTGCACTGCTGTGCCACCTGCATTGCCCAGCTCCCTGCTGGCATCAGGGGACTCCCTGGGGACACCCACCCTGGTGCTCGCTGGCATCCCCAGGCTGGGGCAGGCGACACAGGCACCCCTGGCCCCGAGGAGGAGGCGTGAGACGACGGGCAGGTGGGGGACAGATGGCCAGAGCACGGAGCTGGCACGGGCTGAGCTGAGGCATCCAAGAGCTGCCAGGGGCCTCTGCACCACCCTGCAGCAGGGCCAGGAGGGAGAGGGGACAGGCTGGGAATGGGGGGAATGGGCACAGAAACAGGGATGAGCACAAGGATAGCAAGGAGAACAGAAATTGGGACAGGAAAAGGGATGGGAATGAGGACAGGAATCATGGTGAGGACAGGAAAAGGGACAGAGATGGGAATGAGGACAGGGACAGGGATGGGAATGGGGACAGGAAAAAGGATCAAAATGAGAATGGGAATAGGTATAGGGGTGAGAATGGGGTGGAGATGGAGACAAAGATGGAGATAGGAATTGGGGCAGGAACAGGAATGAAGACAGGGATAGGGTACTGGGTAGGTAGTGACTATCCACCCCAGGCCTGGCAGGGGCTGAGGAGGCAAAAAGCAGCTTGCAGGAGCTGGAATAGGCAGGCAGTCACCCTCAACCATGGCATGGATGTGGCCACATAAGCACTTCCCATCCCTGGTGCTGGGGGAAGAGCTCATGGAGTGGGGAAGGGTCCAAGGGTCAATGCAGGAACAGAGGATGCAGTGACCCACCCCTCAGAAAGGCTTGGAAGTGTAAAGAAGCTGGGGGCCAATTAACCTCACTGGCTAATTAGGACAGGAAGCCACAGGCTTAAACTGCAGCAGGGGAGAAGGAAGTTACGGGAAGGCTGATTTATAACTGTGGGGACTTGGGAGAGTTAATGGCTCAGTTCTGGGTTAATGATATACCGAGACATGCAGGACCCTTTCCGTGCCAGCAAGCCATGGATCATGGGGATGAGAGGGGCTGGTGGGGACACAGCTGCTCCTTTGTGGGTCTCCAGGACACCCACACCTGTTCTGGGGGCCAGGTCTCAGGAGGGTGGGCGCTCCCTCTCGCTCCCTCTTCTGCCTGGTGTCACACCAACGCAGCTCGAGGGAGCACCCGCAGCCCCCCAGCACAGGCAGGGACTGGAGAGCAGCCTCAGGATGTGGCTGCCCAACTTTAATTCGCTGCCAAATGTGTGTCACCACCCCCAGAACTGAAGCTGGAGGCTGCACCGGAGCCCAGTGGCCCTGGAGTGCCTGGGGGGGCCGGGTGACCTGCCACCACCACAGCCCGGTGTGCCGAGGCGCCGGCACAGGGGACAAGGTGCCCCAAAGCATCACCCAGCTCACCAGCTGCCAGGAGAGAAAGTGAGACTGGAAATTCAGGACAGCCTTTGTGTTTGGACCAGATCACGAGAGACTGGGGCTCTGAGGGGAAAATAAAACCTCTCCTTAGAAATTCTTTTATCCCAGGGAGCTCCCGCGTATCGAGTTTCGGGCCATTTATTTGTGCTGCTGACTGAGGCCATTGCTGCTGCCCTCCCTCACACAGAGTGGCTGGTGATGAGAATCCGGCCGCAAACTCCTCATTTTTCAGAGGAAGACAGAGCAGATGTGTGAGGGTGAAGGACGGCGCCAGCTTATTTCTGTGGAGCCATCCCTGGGAAAAGAAGAGGCAGCAGGGGGCAGATCACAGTGGGGCTGGGAGCAGACACCCTCTTTGCCTCCTTCCCAAGCACCAGCAGTGCCTGGGTGACAAGGTGACCCTGCCTGGGTGGAAACCCTGCCCTGAGAACTTTCCCCTCTTCCTGTGGGGTACTTGGGGGAATGGAGGGGCACTGGGACAGGGTCTGTGCTCAGGGGAGAATTTTTCCAGGAGCAATGTCTGCTTGTGGGTGGCTACTGCTCTCCATTCCTTGGTCTTTGTGCCGGGATGCCTTGGCTCCCCCTGCCCTGCTCCTATCCAAGAAGCCTTGGCTCAGAGGAAATGATGGGTCTTAGATTAGGGCACCTTCTGCTCCAGCACCCCTTGCTGCAGTTTTTCAGCATCCTTAAAGCCTCATTACCCCACTTGGGAACAGGTAAGCAGAAGGAGAGGCTGCAAACCTCTGGATGGGTCCTCTTAGGCCACGGGGGAAGGTCCTGTTGGGATTGGGGGGCATGGGGCCAAGCCCTGTGGTGCTTGCGAGGGGTTGTACCCATATCTGGGTGAGGAGGCCCGGACAGAGGCCCCCAGCTTGGCAGAAACAGAGCAAGGGAACTGGGGCACATGCCTGGCACTTGGGGGACTCCAAGGTGTCCCCTTCAGGCAGGAAGGACCAGAGCAGAGCTACAGAGCTCAGCTGCACAGCCAGTCGTTGCCTTGGGTGTGCAGGGGGACGGTGCTGGGCAGGAGAGAAGGGTCCCGGGAAGGGATAGCCAGGAACCAGCAGATCCTGGATGCCAGGCACAGGTACTGAGCTGGGATCACCCAGGTGCCAGCAGGGCAGCGGATGCTGTGCAACCAGAGCGGGCAGGGGTCACCTGCCTGCCCTGGGCTGGGGCCGGGGGTCACCGGCGGGGGTACCGGGGGCGGGGGCGGCAGAATGAGCAAGGTGGGGCTAGGGACGGCGCCCCGCTCCCAGCATTTGGAGATGTCGTGTCTGCGAGGCGGCTTTGGTTTCTCAGCGGAGCCGGAGCTCTCACAAAGCCGCCGACTCGCCGGGGCTCGGCTCCCCGCAGACCCCGCCGCCCCGGGCCGCCCCCCGCCGCGGCAGACAAAGGAGGGACGGCACTTATTTATCCGCCTCCTTCCCGGGACCGGCGGGAGGGTGGCGGGCTGCGGAGGTGCGGCGAGCCACCGGCGGGCAGGCACGGCGCGGCGGGGCACCGCCTGCACCCCGCAACAAAGGGCCGGAGCAGGAGGTGAGCGGCGGGGCGGCGCCGGGGCTCGAACCTGCGGCCCGGGGCGGTGGGAGTGGCCGGGGGCGCGTCCATGCGCAGGACGCCCCCCGCGGCGGGCCCGACTATCCACCCCAGGCC